CTTTGAGTGGTCGGAAGACTAGAAAGGCGCTATACAAGTACAGGTCCATTTACCATTTGCTACCTATTGCTACAACTGTTAATGTTTTCATAATCGGGTATTCTTACAATTATTCAGATTTTGATTCTGGGTCTTTTGTTGCTTTGGCCAACAAACCCAATCCGTAATACTAAAAGTCCTACAGGTCAAGAAACATGAGCAGCCAGATGATCAGGTTACCCACATTTATTTGGAAAATTGTCTTACTGTTAAATGTATACCTAAACAGTATGTTGTGAACATTTCTGTTTTACAAATTTAATTTTTAATTCAACTTGGATATACTGTACTTACTGCTTTTCTGTGCTTCCAATTGCCCTGTGCAATGTGGGATTCTTGCTGACATTTCAGGTGTGTTCACTTCAGTGTGACTTCCAAATAAAGTGGTTAAGATAACCTGGGTAAACTGTTCCTATCTACTTGTATGGCTGCACAGGTTTCTTGATTTGCCACAATGTTGCCTTGTTCCCAATCTCAGAAATTACTTTGACGAGTACAGTATTATCATAACTGATTCATATGATGGACAAAACTACCAAAACAAGACCCAAGTTGTAATAAACTCGAATTATCCTTTAATGCTGGGTTATTTATCCTTCATACCTAACTTGCTTTAGTTATTTTTCAGTAGGCATATTGTTTTCTTAACTTTTGTGTTATTTCAGGCCCTGACTACATACGGCAGAAGTATAATGAGCCAATAGAGATTAAGGAAGTTCCTGTGGAAGAGAAAAAGGAGAAATCTCCATCAGGGAGCCCTCATTTCTACCGGAAAGGCACAACACCAACCCAGTCTCCATCTCAGAGCCCAGGTCCCAGCCCCACTCTTTCACCCACTGCTGCTAAAAATACCTTTTTCAGCAGTAAAACTCCTGCCACTCTTGCTACTGCAAAGAAAGAGAACAAAACCCCAACAGCTGAGTCTTTGACAGCAGGTAAGCAACTTGGGTTATTGTTAATCTAACTGGGGGCGGCTGTGGCTCAGAGGCAGAGCGTGTTGTCCACTAATTGGAAGGTAGTTTGATCCCTCCTCCCGCGACATGTCAAAGTGTCCTTGAGCAAGATACTGAACCCCAAATTGCTCCCAATGCTGTGCATTGGTATGTTTCTACCATCACTGAGTGTGTGAAAGAGCGAATATGGCATGTATGTCAAAGCACTTTGAGTGGTCAGAAGACTAGAAAGGAGCAGATCCAGTACAGATCCATTTTTTATTTCCCTCATCAGCAAATGACAGTCAGTCTATCAGAGCAAGGCTTTCCCTTTCTCACTCTCTGGTACCTGTTAATATCCTGGTAGCTGCATTTTTTTTAATCAGCTGTAGGGAGGAGAGAGGCTTGCTGCAGACAGAGAAAAAGAAGTTGCAGTAATCTAGGCAAGATGAAATAAGAGCATGAATGTTTCCAGATTTTTGGTTAAAAGAAATTACTTTATTTTGCAGATTTTCCTACGTTGAAATAAGCATGCCTGTGTGACAGATTTGATGTGGCTGTTCAATGAGAGGTTGCTGTCAAATAGAACAGTTTTCTGCACTGTGAAGTAATAAAATTGGAGTATGAACCTAGCATGTTTCTAATTTCACTGTTGGATGAGTCAGTACCAAAAAGCAGAATCTCTTTTTTTTTAGTTTAGTTGAAAGACATTTTGGGCCATTTATTTGTTGATGTCCTTCAGACAGTTTATGAGAGAATTGATTGAATTAACGTTATTGGGGTCACAACTGAGCCGTCTGCATAAATATTATGAGATAATAATGGCAGCATGTAAATGGTAAATAAAATTGGGCCAAGCACTGAACCCTGAGGAAGCCCCACTATGCAGCGTAGAGGTTGAAGACCTGGATTCTGGAGTATGACTGACTGGAGCTGGAGGAGTGTGCTGGCTCTGAAAAAACATCTTGTCCTCTCTGTTAGCTGCAACTTTAGCAACTGTTTGCAAACCCACAACATAGCTAATGTTAGTTACATTACTTGCTGTGTGGTTGTTTGCACTATAAGGTAATTGATGTTGCTGCTGTCGTCATAGTCTTTTTCATGATCGTCATCTGGCAGAAACCGTTATGGGACCCCTGAAGACACTAATGCAGCCGGTGGCCTTACCTTCTAAGAACAAGCTGGAGGGGGCTAGCGCTGGTATTAAGCAGGGTTTGCGGGTAGGACTTGGCTGGGATTTCGAGTTTTAGGCTGGCGGGCTCAGGCGCGGCATCATATCACTCGGAGAAACTGTAAAATTCGAAACGATGTGGTATGGGTGGTAATCGTTTGGATCCTAAACTCACCGACTTCTCTTTTCCAACAATTTTCAGAACGCTATTGTCCGACAGCGTAACTTCTTGTTTCTGCGGAGGCTTCGTGTTTTCGTTTGTTGTGGTGTTTGGTTGTCCCTGTTTCGTGTTTGGGCCTGTGGGAGGGCTCTGCGGGTGCGTTTTGGTGGTCTGCTTTTTGGTACGAACTGGGTGGGATCGCTAGCGACGGCGCGTTTGGCAGGGAATTTTTTTGGTCGCTGGCACCTCAACATTCTTGTTTGGGCGACCGGTTTGCGGCGAAGCGTGCGAACGGCTTGATGGCGCGTGGAAGGTTTCCATCTTCCACAACCAAACTTGGTTCTTTCCGCGGGGGGTGGGGGTGGAATTCTTGATGTCTTGCCTTAGCGGCACTGGGAATAACCGTTGGGGGGTACTGGAGGTGAGATCTGCCATTGCTGGGGGTAACTGGGCGTGGACTGGTTGGTTGGGTAAACACGGCTGTTTTGGACTGCTGCGAAGAGCTCCTGTGTGTTTTTCTCAGTTCCTGTTTGAGGAGAAAGTTTTGAGCAGCCGTATTGTTGAGTGCCCTGCCCGAGATACACAGACAAGGAGAGAAAGAAAATAGTGCTTAACAGAAGACACCGTGGAGATAGGGCAGGTGGATTATTGGTTTCGGCGTGAATTACAAGAGAGGGTGAACAGTTTGAGCAACCGCCTGGAGCAGAGGTAAAGGTCGGTAAGAGCCGGACTTTCTGAGAGAAACCCAAGTCAAGCATATTCAATTCAGGGATTCAATTCAGATTTTACTTGTGTATAGCGCCGAATTCAGTAACAGCAAGTGTATACTCAGGACACCTTTTCCAAATAGAAGCACGCGGTCGGGCGGCTAGGACCGGAAAGCTCCTGCTGGTTTAATATTTTTACAGAGAGACCCATAGCCAGTAGCCACCATGAGCAAGCGCACCTTCGGGCAAACAGCGGCAAGAGTAAGACGCTGGCCTGGTGTAAACACGGCAGAGAACCTAGGACGACCCTCTCCGGCTCTGCGGTGGGTGGTTCATCTGTGCCGGAGCTTGACCAGGTTGGGGAGAAACAGGGAGAGAGAGACAGAGGGAGAGGAGAGAGAGAAACAGAGAGAGACATTACAGATGTACAGCCAAGCAACAGGTAGCCAACACCACTACATTAAATAGTACCATGGATCGATGAGCGATCG